AAAATGGGTTTAACGATTTTCAAACTTCTATTGACTTTAGAGATATTTTGTCCAATCATAATGATGTGAATCATTTCATATTTTAGGATTACCAAAATAGTGATGTGAATCTGCAAATCCATCACGTATATTGTGTAATTAGTATTCATAGGAAGTTTATTATTTCCTACGTCTTAACCATGATGCATAAACTTGGACGTACTGAGCTTATTATACAAGATACATACTGTAAATATTATAGGACAAGAATAATTAAAATCCCGGGTTCTGCTCCAGGGCCGAGGTGGTCTGCCCTTGATCATTTTCATGTGGGGGCCCCCACACACAGATCCAAGGGCCGAGACTTGGCCACCTCGGCCCTGGATTGGAGCCCTGGATTATGCAGCTTTATTCAAGAAATTTCCTCCTTTTTTTGCCTAATATTATACAATTCGTATACTCGATGTACTGAAATGGATAAGACTCAATCGGAATAAAAGATTTTGTTTAAAATGTGAAATCTTGTCCCCACATTACTGTTGTTTCCAATTACTACATTCTGCTGAAGACACTCTGCTATAGACATCACACCCACATTCATGCACAAAAACCTCTCAAAGATTTTTTTTTTTTTTTTTTTTTTTTTTACCCTTTCAGACTATATATTCCTCGTTAATATGATATATAAAGACTGCTATCGTAAAAAAAATTACACTCTTGATTGTAAAATATTGATTTTTTCTTACCTTATGAATTGCATATGAAAGTAAGATACTCTAACGGACCTTTTTGCAGTACTTTTACATTCGCTTGTGCGTTTTTAGAAGAGCTTCTTGTGAAGGTTATCTTTAGTCGACTATCAAATGAAAAACACTTATAATCGATATAATACTTCGAAATTTTTTTCCAAACAAACATATTTCAAAGCAAGTTTTACGTTCCAAAATTTGTCAAATCCTACGTCTATGGATTCAAAAAGTTTTTTAAAATATAATTATTGAAAAACAATATAAGCCCTTTTTGAGTCCTATTTTTATGTTGAAATAAATTTTGTAAGAGTATTTTTTTGAAAAATGGATGATTAAAAAGTTAGAATTTACACGCAATTAATTTTATTGGTAAAATGCATAGTTAAAAATGAGTATAAAAAATAAATTATTGGATAATGACGATCAAACGAGGGCTAAATTGGAGCTTGTTTGAGCTCCATTTTATTGTAAGAATACATTTTAAAATAACAAATTGATGGAGAATGTATAGCTAAAACATAAGAAAAAATTTAAAATTTACGTGTAATATTATTTTATTAAAAATATGTAATTGTAAAGAAGGGAGAAAGTATATTTTAAAAATGATAGAAGTCGAATAAGAATATACGAATCTAGCCCCCCGTTTGATCCCCATTACATTTAATTACATTACATTTTTCTCTCTCCTATTTTCAATCACATAATTTTCTATAAAATAATATTACAAGTAAATTGAAAATTTGTCCTTCTTTTTCAATCATTCAATTTTCTAAAAAATACTATTCACATCATTTTCATTTTCAGGTAACGGGGTTAAATGGGGCCTAATAAATAGTGATAAGGAATTTTGTAAGACCTTTCCGGTACCTTTGTCCCCCAATGACATTTATTTTCAAACTAAGACTCAAAGAATGGAAATTAGGATATGATATGTTATATCAAATCGACCCTATAAAGTCAGTCCAACTGTACTGTCCCCTTTTTGCTTCCCTTCCACAAGACATTTGGTGAATCTTTTTGTCTTCTTCGCACAAGTGGCTTCTAATATATGTCCAATATCATGCCACGATGAACGATACCCAGAGAGAAATTGTCCGATCCTCATTCTTTGGCAAAAATATATTTTTTAAATAGTATTTTAACATCATTTCAACCACATATTTCATCTACCATTTTTCCTTGTACATACCTTATCAAACAATTTGTATGAGTTGTATTGTTCTCATGGTACTTTTCAATTGATCGATCGAATTCTATATGTATTTTGAAATTCAAACTAAAATACTAAAATTTTAATTTAAGTCAAAGTTAATAATTAATTTTAGTTATACATTTTTATGGGATTGACAAATTTTTAACCACACACTTCATTAACTTTTGTTAATATAATGAGAAATTTGGGTTAAATATATTTTGGAATTGTAATTTTTGAGAGAATGTGTAATTAAAAAAGAAAAAAAACTATATTATTGAAGAGTGTGCGGCTAAAAAAAATAAAAAAAAATGCATTAAAATTTTAAAGAGAATCAAGAAATTAAGGGAGCTTAATCCTTTTATAAATATTATTCCATGAATACAAGAAATGAAGTGTACAAGTAAATTATTTCAAAATGTACAGTGATTAGCGGTGAATGACGCTATTTTACTGACCAAATTTTCCCATAGATTATGTCTCTGTTCTTGGGCAAACTTTTGATATGCGTGTACTGGCCCTTACTTCGAGGTTTTTTCTGAATTTACAAAAAGGTACACCAACCTTAATCGAATCAAATTGAAACCCCACAGGTCGTCAAGGACAATATTGACATTTCACCTAAAAAGTTATACTTTCAAACTCCGAAGTCCAACACGCACACTGTATAATCTGTCGGAAGGTTTAGCAGATAAGAAAATCCTTCTCGTTCCACACGTGCCAAAACTACAGACCTCCACTTTTCGCACGTATCTATCGACGTCAGCAATGCATTACCCGTTGGACTATCCTCACGTGCCAAAGTTGAAATCATAATGACAATATTTTCTTTATGGGTAATTGGCACAAAACGTCCTTACCTTTTAAGTCTATTGTGGAAAACGTCCCTACCTCTCATTTTTTGGCATTTTTGCCCTCATTTCAACCTTTCTTTGCGCTGGACGTCCTTCCGTCCATATTCCGTTTGTTTTTCCGTTAATTAAAGAGTAATTGGCACAAAACGTCCCTACCTTTTAAGTCTATTGTGGAAAACGTCCATACCTTTCATTTTTTGGCATTTTTGCCCTCATTTCAGGAGAGAGAAGTCAAGATGGACGGCACTAAAAATTAAGGGTCCATTTGATTATAAAAGTAAAAAAAATAAATTAATTTTATGTGAGTTGGAAAAGAAAAAATTATCAAAATTATAGGAATTCGATTTTCATGGAATTGGCCAAAAACATGTTTTAAGTGTTTATACCTTGAAATTCGAATTACATTTTCACTTTCGTATCAAATAGTCAAAGTAGAAAATGAGTTCTTCGAATGTGATATTTTTCATGAAATTTGTCTCAATCAACAGGATCCTAAGAGATGTATCGCATTGAACTGAAGTATAGAGGATAGACATAAGAAATTGATTATTTAACGGTCAACTCTCATCACCTTTGAGGTTATATCTCATATTTTTCAACTCTTATCACCTTGAGATCTCATATTTTTCTTTTGATGTCCCTTGGATTTCCAAATACGTTTCACAATAGAAGAAATTAATTTCATGTTTGATGCCCAGTGTTTTAAAACTCTTTTCGCTACAAGATCATTCTTCATCATATTCACACAATAATATATTTTTGCACATGAATTTAAAAATTTTCCTACTTTTAAACAACACGTTCTACAAATACTATTCAAAACTTTTTTTTATTTCTTTTCAAAATAATGGACGCCAAACATGGGCTAAGATAGACAGTGTACAATTAAAAGAAAATGTAACATTGGAGAAGAGAGAATGCCACTATAAGAAAAAAGTAATGTTATTTAACCGGGGTTGCAATTCTAAATTGGTGATGCTAACATGACATTAAATGACAAGTGAAATTAAATGACTCATTATTGTTCTACTTTTAATTTAATTTATTATACAGCGTCACTTAAATTGAGGTTATAATTCCAGTGGAACTACGTAACATCAATCATAAAAGAATAGGGATAATAAATTGACAGCCTAATAATCAACCATGATTACCTTTGGTGTTATAAATTGCGTTTTTCTTCAACGTCCCTTTCCTCCCCTCTTTCCACACAAGCATCTAGTGGATATCCAAAGATGCTTCACATGAGCACGAAGAAGATGGACGATCCATTCCGCACAAAGGGCGCAAAAAGAAAGAAAAAATATAACATAGGATAAGGGAGTACGAGACGTTGATGATAGAAATAAGAAAATTGATTCTATAAATAACGTGAAATGATTCTTTTTAAAGTCTTGTTTGGTGAAAATTAAAATTATTTTTGTAATAAATTTTAATAAAATAAGTAATTGAAAATTTGTGGATCCTAAAAAATATGAGGTTAAGATCATTTGTTCATTTTAACTTACATTCACATCTAAATTTTAATCCCTACCAAAAAGGAACAAAGGTCCATTTGGGAGTGATTTTTCACTTTAAAAAATTGATTTTTTTATTATTATTTCACTATTTCAGCCATAATTTTTGATTTTTTCTCTCACATGTAGTTTTCACTTTTCTCTTAACGGTCAAAAAATCAATTCTCAAAATCACTATCCCAAAATATTTATTTTATTCTCTTACTCATATTCCAACTATTTTCTAATTGAACTTTGCTACACGAGCTGGGTGTTTGATAGGATTTATAAATAGAAACCACATATCAAGTATTCCTTGGACAGTCAAAAAAAAAAAAAAAATCCAAACTAGCACCTGTTCTTAAATTTGTCAAGTGCCCTGTTTGGGTAGCTTAAATGTTTCTAATTTGCCTAAAAAAAATTAACAATTGCCATCCGTACCTTCGACATGAGTTAGAGCCTGTTTAGACCCGATTTTTTCATCCAAAAAATTGATTTTTTTGACCGTTATTTCACTATTCCAACCGTCATATTTGACTTCTTCTCTCACAGGCGGATCCCACTTCTCTCTTAACGGTCAAAAAATCAATTCTCAAAATCACTCCCAAACAGACTCCTAATGACATTTAAAATTAGCTGTTCAACATTCTCTTAACGCCACTTGTGCTTAAAAATAAGTATAAAATTATAAGTAGCTAATTGGGCAATCAATTTTAAACGCTAGGCCTCAACTTCCCTACCTCACCATTCAAGCATATCTCTCTCTCTCTCTCTCTCTCTCTCTCTCTCTCTCTCTATCACCGTAAATACAGACGGAGCTTCTCCTTATTTTCTAGCTACTTTCTATTTTTCTTCTCTGACTGTACAGAACCCTAATTTTCTGTTAAACAGAAAAGCTCACCATATAGCTCCGTTTGGTTGAAACAGATACTCGTGTCTTCAAATTTTGACTTTGTTCTTGATTCTTCCCATTTTCCATTTCTCTTATCTGATTCGACAGGCGAGAGAAAAGGAACATCCCAAAAGCTAAAATCCGTTGTTTTCAACGGGTATCGACTTTTATTCTTTCGTTTTTGCCCTCCCAAATTTACATGAAATTATTCGCAAAATGTTGGACTTTGATAAAAACTCCGACGAGTTGATTTCAGGCGGTTTTAGTTCCAGCAAAACCTCCATGAGTAGCGACACAACCATTAGTCATTGCACTAGTTTTAGCCGATTATCTTTGGATCTGCCGACGATATCGCCGGAAAATCTTCTTACCCTGAAACCTCATCGATCGTCGGATTATTCATTCCAAGCGATTCGCTCACAGACACGGTTGAGCTTCCGGGACTTCAGTTTGGTCCGCCAGATCGGCAGTGGTGACATAGGTAAAGTATATCTCTGCCACCTCCGCGGCGGGGCGGAGGAGGGGCGACTATATGCCATGAAAGTAGTCGATAATGAAGTTTTGGCATTAAAGAAAAAATCCCAGAGAGCTGAAACTGAAAGAAACATCATGAGAATGCTTGACCATCCGTTTTTGCCTACTCTTTATGCAGAATTTGAGGCCTCCCATTTTTCTTGTGTTGTTATGGAATACTGTTCTGGGGGTGATTTGCATTCCCTTCGGCACAAACAGCCTCAAAAACGCTTCTCTCTGAACTCAGCTAGGTGATATGCTCTCTCTACGTTATCTTCTCTTGTCTGTTCTTGATCAGAGAGATATTATTTGGTAAAGCTGATTATTTTTTTGAAGGGCTAAATAAATTAACTGAATATTGTATATCAAATCCAGTTTTCTTCTGCATAATAAGACCCTTCATAGAATTTTTTACTCCAAACAAATTAATCTGTTTTACTAAAAAAAATTTGTCCAATTTAGCCGCAAGTCACTAATAAGACTTTTCTCCTTCCGGGTTTTTTCTTGTTTTGGTGACTTTTTCCATGTGAAACGGAATTTACCATATCAGGGTCTTTTTCTTAGCTTCTGAAACAAGCCATCCGGAACAGTTTTCTATGTTTCCCATGAAATTCTTACCCCGGTTAACGTTAGAGCTGCATCCATCGCGTCGAACATGGTACTAAATATTATTTTTAAAATTTTTCAGGTTTTATGCTGCTGAGGTATTGGTAGCATTGGAATACCTCCACATGTTGGGAATCATCTACAGGGACTTGAAGCCAGAAAATGTGTTGGTTAGATCAGACGGTCACATTATGCTCACCGATTTTGATCTCTCCCTGTGCTCAGATTCAATCCCAGCCATTGAATTGCCTGACTTTTCCTCCGTAGACCCACCGTCCTCCCCAACAGCCCGTATACTCACACCATTCTCCTGCATTTCCGATCGGCTCCGGTCGAAGTCTTTTTCCAACAACCGGTTGTTCGTGGCGGAGCCAGTCGCCGCCCGATCTTGTTCTTTCGTTGGGACCCACGAATATGTGTCGCCTGAAGTTGCCTCCGGTAGGTCCCATGGCAATGCCGTGGACTGGTGGGCCCTTGGGATATTCATTTACGAAATGATATACGGAAGAACCCCATTTGCGGGTGTATCGAATGCGGCTACGCTGCGTGACATTGTTAAAATGCCCTTAACTTTCCCCACCGGCGCGCCGTGCAGTGTGAGGGAAATGCACGCTCGCGACTTAATATCCCAGTTACTCAACAAGGACCCGAATAGAAGACTCGGGTCGAAACGCGGGGCGGCTGATGTGAAGACCCACCCGTTTTTTAAGGACTTGAATTTCGCGCTGATTCGATCCGTAACGCCACCGAGTTTACCTGGAATCTTGAACCAGAGAACAACAACGTCAATATATGAGAAGAATTTGAGGTCTCAAAAGACGCCGTTTGACATATTCTAATTTACGATTTGTGGATTGGGTAATGTTATTTACAATCGTTCACTATCATAATTTTCCTACGTGACATATTTGACGAGGAAGGTAGCTTAGCATGTAGTAATTTACACTGTTACTATCTCTAGGGAAAAGAAAAAGGTGTATATATTATGAGGCTATTTAAATTTCACATTATTGTCTCATCATTTTTATGTTATTGAGTTGAGAAGCAAAACATTGAAAGGTGGGTAGTATTTATGAGGCTATGAAATGTGCATTTAAAATATTAATTTAACTTTGGGAAGTAGAATTTTCTCACAAGAAAATAAAATTCAAACAGAGGCTTAGGGGCTGTTTGGGCCCGATTTTTTCACCCAAAAAATTAATTTTTTGACCGTTATTTTACTATTACAGCCGTCATATTTGACTTCTTCTCTCACACGTGGATCCCACTTTTCTCCTAACGGTCAAAAAATCAATTCTCAAAATCACTCTCAAACAGGCTCTTAGTTAATGGTAATAATCGATGAAATGTTTTGACAAGTTTAAAAAATGGGAGTTAACTTATTCTCATGTCATCTTCCAAGTGGGTTGAGTTTAGGTACAAATTTTCCCTAAATTATGGAGCTTTATGCAAAAGAATTGATTCTGTTGATGTCATGCTTCTAGTAACTTCGAAAAGTTTTGTTAATTATGGATCGTGTAAAGAAACTAGAGCAAGCATTGACAGTCAATCCTACAACTTATTTAAATCATATTTATCAACTTCTTGTTCATCATCACTTGTATTTGGAATTTAGTAAACAAGAAAGTCGTCAAAATTCCATATTTTATAATTAGCCCATGACAAAGAAGGTGAAATTACAAATAGGAAAAAAATGACGATCTTTCTTCATTTCGAATTATATTAACAGTGGACGAAAAACACTTTTAACTGGAAAAAAGTATGAGAAATAGAACGAATTATAGGCTAAAATTTGAAATTAATAATCCATTAAAAGAACTAAAGAATGTGTCAATCCTAATAGAGAAAAGAAAATTTTGTTTAATTTTACTATCAAACCAAGAAGTTACATTCATATACTTCGTTTAGAATGTATATAAAACTTGCTAAGGAGGACTATGGTGCTCAATAATTAACCCGTCAAGATCTCTCCCACGAGCGAAGCAAATTGAGGGTAGGTTAAGTTAGAGCATCAATATCTTCAACTATAGAATCAGAGATAAATTGAGCTTTTACAAAAATGAAATTGTCATTTAGGATGCCCATCATTTACTTCTATGGCCTAAATCTAATGGTAGCGATACGATTCTCCAAAAGTGTGACACGCTTTCTAAGAATTCGTAAATTGTGCACAAGATCCTAAGAATGGTTACTCTTTGAAGAGCATACTACGATAAAAGTTGTAAGTTGTGTACATTAAGAATTAGTGTGTATTGTCATTTCAATAAATATAGTAAGTTGTGTTTATTGAATTGTTGTCTATGGTTGATCCATGTGGTATAATCAATCAATCTATGCTTGAATAGGTTTTCAAATAATTGGTTTATTTTCCAATCCCCATTCTTCATTGTTTCACAAAATAAGTATGTATTTTATAGATTGCAAAAGAATCCCATATCTCATATATACAAAATTGATGGGAACTTGAGATAATTGGAGTCCCAATTGACAACACATGGGATGTCCATGTGACCACCCCACTTAGACATTTTTAAACCTCTTCCCATTCCTGACCCAACCCTAACCTACAAAAAGGAACCATTTGGCTGGCCCATTCCCAATTATCTGCTTCCACGTGGCATGTGATGGACTGCCCACGTTTTTCAGTTCTTCCCTTATCTTTCATTCTAAAGAGGCTAATGTAATAGGAAAGTAGAAGATAAAGATTAAGGTCGTTGATGGATCAAAAATTTGGGAATTATGGGATTAATATTTGTGATAAAGGCTTGTGTAGAATTTTAGGTAGTAAGGTGGTACCACTATAATGGTTCCTTAGGGCGATTTTTTCCCCCTTCCTTGATTGGGATATTTTTGAGTATTGAGATTATGTTGCTGTGAAAAAAGAAATGAATTCTAATTGTCTCGTCTCAAATTTGGGATGGCAACAGGATGAGTACACCATTTTCGTACCCTCATTTTGTCAATCTGTCCCATCTTCATACTTGGTTAAAGCGAGGTGAAGCTTTATCACCCTGTTTATTTTATTTATTTATTTTAATTTTTCTTTTTAAATATCTTTAATTAGTGAATATTATCATTTCTTTTTTCCCCAATTTATTAAGAACAAATAATGTTCTCTTTAAAAATGATGATAAATATTTTATTTTTATTTGATAGAAAAATTAAATTTGAAATTAACTTTAAATGGTTTGGGGAACTATGTTTTCCATACCCTCTTTGAGACAACAACCCCACTTCCGCCCTTGACTCTCGCCTCCGTTTATCCGATCAAGAGGGCAATCCCGCCCCATTCAGGACGGGACCTTGAATATCGTGTTGAACGAGTTTTTTGATCATTCCTACTTCCTGTTAGCTATGAGAAGCTGGAACTGCCTTGCAACGATTTGGAGTTGTCCATCAGACCTCAATTTCTTTCTTCAGGCTTCGTAATGTTCTAAAAATTTGGTTGCTTGTTACGCTAGCAAGAACGATTCACATAGTTTAAGAGTTAGAATACATATAGTGTCTATTTGACAATCATTAATTTATTTTAAAATCTGTTAGCCAATAAATTTTAACAACATTTTTACATGATAAAATATTTTTACATGCATACTAAAAACTTTTTCCCGACTTTTTTCACAATAATAATTTTCAAACAGCTCATAATTAGGCACGTGCCTCATTTGTTGTTGAATTACTTACACCAACAATAATCTTGGATGTGCTACATTCGTGGTTTAATTAAGCATTCTGTCGCCATTGTACTAGGTTTTGCATTACACCAATATAAAATACTATTGTAATTAAATTGTTAGAGATGTATACTTTTTATCTTACATGTTTTTACACATATGTTGAAGTTAATTATTCACCAAAATCTAACTTGTGCATGATTTTTAAATAGATGACAACAAATTTTAAACGTGATCTTTTACTTTTCTAATATTATAATCTCATATGAAAATTTAAACAAACTGTAATCAGTATTAAATATACACAATAACGGAATTTACATCCTGTTGACATGCAAAAAGTGCAGCCTAATTCAAATAGTCCAAAAAATAAAGCTCAATTGGGTAATTCAGGATAATGGCCCAAATAGGGCTATTAATGAATGTAGTGGAAGTCCACGAACGGGGTAACATTATCGCCCAAACTTACAAGACACACATGATCTGAGCGAATGAAGTGCCTTGCAGTTGCCCAGAGTTATGACCATGTTCTCGTCCTAACTTTCGAATCACCCAAGATCTTAGCAAACATAAAATATTATGGTTATCCAAAAGTACAGTCATCGAAGCAGTTATTAGGTAATTTTATCACGTTCCGCGATTCAAGGTGGTCAGTTGAGGACAGTTGAACGACAAAGAGTAATGACAGCAGTTAGAGACGGTAGTTCCACGATAAGTTAGCCACCATGGAGAAAGTGAGCAGTTATAAAGTAATTAAGCGGTTGATCACGAAGAGAGCATCAAAGGAATATAAAAGAAAAAAAAAAATATAGAGCAAAAGACCTCGAATCAAACACTCTCAAACAGAGAATATGTAATTTCAATTTCTTAATTTAGACTTAAAATATTTCTTTTCAGTACTCGTGTGCTTGTGCCCTTTGGAGGCATTTATGTTTAAGTTCCAACTGTGAAGTCATTGCCAATAAAACACCCTTTTTTAGGATTTTGTCTCAAGAAGTTTGTCCCTTACACAATCGTCGGACCCATTTTTAATTGTTAGTGACTACCCGCTTGAAACACATCCTAATATGAACTTGTGCGAGAATAATTAAATAGATTATTTATTAATCATGAAACTTTTTTTTGGTATTAGTTAAATTGATATATATTGGAATTTAATTTTCATACCCAAATATGCTTCCTGATTCACACATTTTTTTTTTAATTTAATTTTTTGCTTTAAATCCACCACTCAATAAAAACTTGATAATCAATCACTCAAATTGTGTTCTTACGATAATAGTGGGTAGCTACTCAAGTTTTCAAATATTATACTAATGATCACTCGATCAAAAAAATTATCATTAAATCCTACATACCATTAAATAATTTTATTTATTACTTCGAATTAGATTATTATTAAAAACGTATAAATTTACTATATGATTTAAATTAATAATCTAATCAGAAGTAAAATCGCATTACATTTCCGCATTTATATGTTAATCCCGGTTTCAACTCATCAATTTTATATGTTAATACTTATTGATTCCACATCATTCCTTCATATGCAGTGATTCTGGCGATACTCAGAAAGAAAACTCTCTTTGCTTGCAGCTGACTCGAGTACACAATTAATCTAAGTCCCCGTTTGGACTCGATTAATTCTAAAATATAATTTTTTCTATTTTATTTTTAATCACATTCTCAAATAAAAATACTATTATACATAAACTTAAAAGTTTTCATTTTTTAATCACACGTTTTTCTAAAAATATTATTTTAAGATTCCATTTTTTAACTGAAAAATGGGGCTAAAAAATCATATAACTACATTCTGATTTGACCCAGTATATATTCGATTGTAATCATATCATAAGTGAATATTTAGACGTGTCATCCGACAAGCACAAATTTTTTAAGAATTATTGGAGATGGTATGGGAGAGTAATCTTTTTATTGCATTACAGAAAATACACAGTCAAGTCAAAAGCTATGACGTTAATTAATGGACGGTGCTGAACATACAGGTCCCACATCTTACACTTACAGGATTTTTACAGACCCCTCACATAAAACGGGTTGGTTTTTTTTTTTTTTTTAATGGCATTAGCCCGTGTGGAGCCAACCCCATGTGAGGGGTCAGTAAGACCTTTGTGAATTGTTAATTAATTGCTTTTGTCACTACTTCGTTGGCTTCCAAAACCACCAAAAAAAAAGAGAAAAACTTTGATGGGCGATTGCACTATCTTACAGACGTGATCATCGAATAGAAAGTCACTACATATCTGATGGTCCATTCTCACCCACTGAAATGAGTCCACTTGAAACTTGAAGTGAAAAGAGAGAGAA